ATCATCATCATCATCATCATCATCATCATCGTCATCATCATCATCATCATCATCATCATCATCTCATCATCATCATCATCATCATCATCATCATCATCCTTATCATCATCATCATTATCATCATCATCAGCATCAGCAGCAGCAACATCATCATCAGCAGCATCATCAGCATCATCATCAGCATCATCATCAGCATCATCATCATCATCAACCTCATCATCAGCATCATCATCAGCATCATAATCAGCATCATCATCATCAGCAGCAGCAGCACCATCAGCATCATCAGAATCAGCATCATCATCAGCAACAGCAACATCATCAGCATCATCAGCATCAGCATCACCAGCATCATCATCCTCATCATCAGCATCATCATCATCGTCATCATCAGCATCATCATCATCAGCATCAGCATCATCATCATCAGCAGCATCATCAGCATCATCAGCAGCATATTCAGCATCGTCAGCATCAGCAGCATCAGCATCATCATCGTCATCGGCATCATCAGCATCATCATCATCAGCATCATAATCAGCATCATCATCATCATCATCATCATCATCATCATCAGCAACATAATCATCATCATCAGCATCAGCATCAGCATCATCATCATCAGCATCATCGTCAGCATAACCAGCATCATCAGCATCATCATCAGATTCCTACTCTTCCTCCTCCGCCTCCTCCTCCTCTGCCGCATCATCATCATCGTCCTCCTCCTCCTCCTCATCATCGTCATCAGCATCAGCATCACCAGCATCATCATCATCATCATCATCAGCAGCATCACCATCGTCATCAGCATCATCATCAGCATCGTCAGCACCATCATCAGCAGCATCATCATCATCAGCAGCATCAGCATCAGCACCATCATCATCATCATCATCATCATCATCATCATCAGCATCATCATCATCATACTCCTATCCTTCCTCTTCCGCCTCCTCCTCCTCCTCCTCTTCCTCCTCATCCTCATCGTCCTCCTCCTCCTCCTCCTCATCATCATCATCAGCATCATCACCAGCATCATCTGAATAATCATCATCAGCAGCATCGTCGTCATCATCATCGTCAGCCTCCTCCTCCTTCTCCTCCACCTCCTCCTCCCTCCTTCGTCTCCTCCTCCTCCTCCTCAGCGGCAGCAGCAGCATCGTCTCCTCCATACAGTACATCCTGTTGCTGCTGACTGCAGCTGTTCCTCCTCCTCCTCCTCCACCTCCTCCTCCTTCGTGTTCTCATCCTCCTCCTCATCCTCCTCCTCCGTCGGTTTCTCCTCCGCCTCCTCCTCATCATCATCAGCATCATCAGCATCATCAGCATCAGCATCAGCATCATCATCCTCATCATAAGCATCATCAGCATCAGCAGCATCATCAGCAACAGCAGCATCATCAGCATCATCAGCATCAGCATCACCATGATCATCATCATCATCATCATCATCATCAGCATCAGCATCATCATCGTCAGCGTCCTCATCATCATCAACATCATCCTCATCGTAAGCATCATCAGCATCAGCAGCATCATCCTCACCATCCGCATCATCCGCATCATCATCAGCATCATGGCCTGCAGCAGCGTCCTCGTATTCGTCCTCATCATCAGAATCAGCAGCATCATCATCAGCAGCATCATCAGCAGCATCATCAGCATCATCAGCATCATCATAAGCATCATCATCAGCATCCTCAGCACCATCGTCATCATCATCAACAGCAGCATCATAAGCATCACCAGTATCATCATCATCATCATCATCGCCATCATCATCATCAGCATCATCATCATCAGCATCATCATCATCATCATCATCATCATCATCATCATCATCATCATCATCGTCGTCGTCGTCGTCGTCGTCGTCGTCAGCAGCAACATGATCAGCTTGATCATCATCACCAGCAGCAACATCATCATCATCATCATCAGCAGCATCAACATCATCATCAGCACCATCGTCATCGTCATAATCAGCAGTCGCATCATCAGCAGCAACATCATCAGCATCATCATCAGCATCAGCATCAGCATCAGCATCAGCATCCTAATCTTCATCCTCATCCTCATCCTCATCATTTCCCTCCCTCTCTTTCTCCCTCCCTCCCTCCATCCCGCCCTCCCTTCTCCCTCCTTTTTCTCTCGATCCTCCTCTCTGCTCCCTGCTCTCTCCTCCATGATTCTCCTCCCTCCCCCACTCCTCCGTATCCTCCCTCTCGTGGTCGCGCAGGCGGGGCGCCTCCACCTCTGCCTCGAGCTCCCCCCCGCGGCGCTCGGACTCCCGCAGCTGCGCCCGTAGCTCCGCCTCGCGCCTCTGGTCGTCGGCCTCTCTTGGGAGGCGGCCGCCCAGCGACCGCCAACAAACGGCCGCGGGCACGCAGGGCGGACCCCTCCTTTTCACCTATGTCACTCCTCCTCATCCTTCCCCTCCTCCTCCTCCTCTCGTCCTCCTTCTCCTCCTCCTCCTCCTCCTCCTCCTCCTCCTCCTCATCCTCCTCTTCCTCCTCCTCCTGCTCCTCCTCCCCCTCCTCCTCTTCCTTCTCCTGCTCCTCCCCCTCCTCCCCCTCCTCCCCCTCCCCCTCCTCCTCCTCCTCCTCCTCCTCCTCCTTTCTCCTCCTCATCTCTCCTTCCTCCTCCTCCCTCCTCCTCCTCCATTTCTGTTCCTCATAAATAACTCCCTCCCTGTCGCACCCCGAGGCCGGTCGAAAGAGCGGGCCGGTCGCTTCGATCATCACCATTTATGACCATGCATGACCCTGAAGTTTAGTCATTGACATCGGTTTCGCAGATGGAGGGCCAGTGGTTTTCAAAATGTGGTTCTCGCCTCAGCGCCGCGCACACTCTGTTTCAAATGTTGCCAGGATTCCACGCACTGAGGGCGGGCGGTTTTCAAAATGTGGCGCTCGCCGTAGCGCCGCACACACTCGTTTTCAACAGTTAGAAGCAAAAGCTTAACGAATGGAGGGCGGGTTAGTCTCAAAATGTGGCTCTCGCCTTAGCGCCGCGCACACTCTCCTTAAAACTTCGCCAGCGTTTCACGCATTGAGGGCGGGCGGTTTTCAAAATGTGGCGCTCGCCGTAGCGCCGCATACACTCGTTTTCAACAGTTAGAAGCAAAAGCTTAACGAATGGAGGGCGGGTTAGTCTCAAAATGTGGCTCTCGCCTTAGCGCCGCGCACACTCTCCTTAAAACTTCGCCAGCCTTTCACGCATTGAGGGCGGGCGGTGCTCAAAATGTGGCTCACGCCATAGCGCCGCGCACATTCGTTTTAACAATTTGCGACAGTTTCACTAGTGGAAGGCGGGTGGCTTTCAAAATGTTGCTCTCATCTTAGCGCCGCGCACATTCGTTTTAAACATGTGCTAGAGTTTGACGAATTCCCATGGTCAGCTTACCGGAAACGGTGTTGAAAGATTCAGGATCGTGTGGGTGCAACAGTTGTGTTTATTCGCGGTGTCGAAGTCCCAGGAGTGGTGTTCTGGCAAGATTCAGGATCTTCAAAACGCAACAGTGGAGTTGATCCGTGGCTCTGGAGTCCCGAGAATGGTGTTAGGCATCCTTCGGGATCTTTAAACGGATGTCTCCCAACGAGGCAGTTCCCTCAGCAGAAATGAACTCTGGTTGGGGCCTCTGAGGGGGGAGCTTGGAGGAAGGGTTCATTCCAACACCGCTGATGAGTCTTGAGTTTATACTGGTCCTCCTCCTCCTCCTCCTCCTCCTCCTCCTCCTCCTCCTCCTCCTCCTCCTCCTACTGCTCCTCCTCCTCCTGCTCCTCCTTCTCCTCCTCTTCCTCCTCCTCCTCCTCCTCCTCCTCCTCCTCCTCCTCCTCCTCCTCCTCCTCCCCCTTGGCCCCCCCCAGGCCCCCTCCTTGAAATCTCGGGGTCCCAATTTTTTCGAGCTGGACGATTTCGCCCAGTTTGGGGCCCACAGACCCTCACGGATCGATCCGGCTCCTCCAAAACTGGCGCAGAAAGAGTCTAAGGCTCCGGTTGCGATTTTTCTAGATGTTGCAATTTGTCCGTGACGTCCGATCTCCGGGTAAGACGATGGTAGGACCAGGACAAGACAGGACCAGGCTACACCAAGGATCTGGGAGGCCCGGGCGGCTCTGGCGGACGTGTCTGGCGCCGCGGCCGCTCCAAAATGTTCCAGAACGCCCTGGGAGCGTTCCAGAGTTTGGACGCCCGAAACGGAAAGAATGGGTACAATGCCCAACAACACATGTTGTCCCAAACCAACAGCGGCCGCTGCTGGGCAGGCGGCCTTCTGTCTCGAATGGACACGGGCCGCGGCGGCCGCGGACAGCGAGTCCTGCTCTAAATGAACAGGAACATCTGTTGAGCACTGTACCCCTTCTTTCCGTGCCCATCTCGTTCGTGCAGACAGATCGCTCTGGCACGATTCCTCCTGGTCCTGGAATGGCCGCTCGTCCCCTCCGCCTCCCCAGCCCTCCCCACGTCGTGAAGAGCATTTGCCACGGAGGGCCTCTGCCGGGCCCTCGCCGGGACCAGGGGCCGTCGAAGAACGGCTCGGGACGAGAAAACCGGCCCCGGGAAGAGGTCGAGCCCCCTGAAGGTCCACGTTGAGGGGAAGAGAAAAACACACACACAAAAAAAAACGCCTGAGTCCTGGGTCCTCCCTCCTCCTCCACCTCCTCCTCCTCCTCCTCTTCCTCCTCCTCCTCCTCCTAATCATCCTCATCCTCATCCTCATCCTTCTCCCCCTCTTCCTCTTCTTCCTCCTCCTCCTCCTCCTCTTGCATCCCTCCCCCCTCCTACCTACTGCCCTACTCCAGGATGCCCCCCCTGGGCTTTCGGAGTGAGGGGAGGTCAATGTACAGGGCATGCCCGAGCTACCCAGGACGTCCTCCGTCACGTCTTTGTCACAACGTGGCTCCCCAGGGGTCTGGATGCCTTCCCCAGGACAGGCTTTTCATCCGAGCCGTTGTTTGCAGGTCCCCGGGCCGGGCGAATGCGCCGGGAGGGCGAGAATGGGCACATACCTTCCGTCGGCTTACTTTTTCATGACGAGAGGACGTCTGGGTATCGATCCCCAGAGACAGGCAACGATTTGGTGCGTCCCCAATCACACGGCCCCCACTGGCAAACCCTCAGTTTGGAAGGACTGCCAGGTGGCGGCGCGCCCGCAGGCCTGGCAGCTGGCTCAATGATCCCTCCTCCCCCTCCCTCCGCCTCCTCCTCCTCCCTGTCCTCCTCCTGCTCCTGCTCCTGCTTCTGTTCCTCCTCCACCTCCTCCTTCTCCTCCTCCTCCTCTTCCTCCTCCTCCCCCTCCTCTTCCTCCTCCTCCTCCTCCTCCTCCTCCTGCTCCTCCATTCGTTATCAATACAATTAACTCCTCCCTGTCGCAGCCCGGACAGGACAGTTCGCCCGAAACCTCCCTACCATTTACGAGCTTGAGGGTAAATAAGTGGCAACACTTCCACGGATGGTGGGCGGGTGGTTCTCAAAATGAGACTCTCGCCTTTGCGCCGCGCACACTCGCTTCAAACAAATGCCCATTGGGGACAGGTGGTGTTTTCAATATGCGGATCTCGCTGAAGCGCCGCGTACGTTCGTTTTAAACATTTGCTTGAGGGCGGTCCGTTTTCAAAATGTGGCTCTTGCTCTAGCGCCACGCACATTCGATTTTGAAATTTGCAACAAAACCTTCACGGACTGAGGGCGGCTCCTTTTCAAAATGTGGATCTCGCATTAGCGCCACGCACACTCACCTGAAACATTTGCAAGTGTTTCAATAGTTCTCATGGTTAGCGTACCAGAAACGGCGTTGTGGAACGATTCAGGATGGTCAGGACGCAACAATTTCGTCGATTCGCGCAGTTGAATCCTAAGAACGGTTTTCTGAGACGACTCCGGATCGCTAAGACGCAACAGTCAGGAAGATACGTGGCGTTGAAGTTATGAGAATGGCGTCTTGGCACAATTCAGAACAAAATTGGTTGTCTCCAAAGGGGGCCCTTCCATCAGTGGAAATGTTTCCCCATAGAGCCTATGAAGAGGGATCAGAGGGAGGGTGCATTTCAGCACCGTTAACGAATCTTGGGTTTACACTGCTCCTCCTCCTGCTCCTCCTCCTCCTCCTCCTCCTCCTCCTCCTCCTCCTCCTCCTCTTCCTCCACCTCCTCTTTCTCATCCTCCTCCGCATCCTCAGCATCATCAGTAGCAGCCGCAGCAGCAGCATCAGCATCAGCAACAGCAGCAACGTCATCATCATCACCAACATCATCATTAACAGCATCATGAGCATCAGCATCAGCATCATCATATTCAGCATCAGCATCCATATCCACAACAACAACCTAAACATAACCACCATCATCACCACAACCCTCATCATCATCAGTACCATCATCATCACCATCATCAGCATCAACATCGCCATCAGCATCATCACCATCATCATCACCATCATCATTATCATCACCATCGTCATCATCACAATCAGCATCGACATCGACATCAACATCATCATCATCATCATCATCATCAGCAGCATCGCCATCTTCACCAGCATCATCATCACCACCACCATCATCGCCATCATCATCATCCCGCGGCGGCGCCCACCACAACCACCACCACCACGACGACGACGACGACGACAACGACGACATGCGACGACGACATGCGGCGACGACGACGACGACGACGACGACGACGACGACGACGACGACGACGACGACGACGACGACGACGGCGACGGCGACGGCGACCGCGACAGCGACGGCGACGGCGACGGCGACGGCGACCGCGACGGCGGCGGCGGCCGGGGTCGACCTCCCGCTCGCCAGCGTCCTCGGCGGGCCGGGGCGGGAGCAGGCGCGCGCTCGCGACGTCGCCGAGGCCGCCGCGGTCTTGGTCGTCGCCGTCGTCGCCGCCGCCGCCGTCACATCGCCACCCACCTGTGGCAACTGACCCTGCGACACTGCGACATTGATGAGTCCTGCACGACAACAGTCAATACAAGACAAAGAAAGAGAAGCCCGCCTGCGCCGCCAGGTCCGTCACCTGCCTGCCTTGAGAGCTGTTCCTCCTCCGCCGCCTCTGCCTTTTCACATCGTCGCCCTCCTGCCCCTCCACCTCTTCGTCGTCGTCTTCCTCATCCTGCTCCTCTCCTTTCTCCGCCCTCTCCCCCTCTGGGACGCCGGCAGGAAGACTAAAGTCTGGCAGGTGCTAATGTGGATTCCCTGAGAGAGGGTAAGTCCGGAGGATGTACAGGGCGCTGCGGCCGTTCCAGAGCGTTCTGGAATTTAGCGTTCCGGAACGCTCTGGAACGATGGAGTCTTCCATGGCCTTAGTGATTCTTCCCCGCAGGGTGACGGCCTCAGTGATGGCAAAAGGTGCCCGGAAAGCTGCTCATCCTTACGATCCTGTTTGGCTACATGTGCTGACCTCTGGGAATGAGTGGAGGAGGCAGAGAGGCATTGTGCCAACACCGCAACTCCTCGAGTACCTGAGCTACGCTGGGAGCTACGGTATGGGCACAACTCTACTCAGAGCGCGCCCCGGGAGGCGTCCTGTCCCAGGGCGTCCTCTGACCAGATTTGGCCCCAATTTGAAATCCGGCCGTGGCGACGAGGGGCCTCCGGGAGGCCCCAAAAAGGCGAAGACGATGCCAAGGGAGCGGTATCGACATCACTTCAAGGGAGAGAGGGAAGGAGAGAGGGAGGTAGAGAGGGAAGGAGGGAGGAAGGGAAGGTGGGTGGGAGGGACGGCGGGAGGGAGGAAGGGAGAAGGGAGGGAGGAGGGAGGGAGGGAGGGAGGGGGGGGAGGGGGGGGGGGGGGGGGGGGCAAACTACGCATCCTCTGGGCTGCGCCTCCTTCTCCTCGGGAAGGGCTCACGGCGCGTGCGCGCGTCCTTGGCGCCCTCCTGCATCTGCTTCAGCGCGGCGCGCACGGCCTTGAGCTCCTGACCCCAGGCGGGAGGGGGGGGGGGGGGAGGGGGGGCAAACCGCCGACACAGCCACCCCCGCTGCACGGAGGGCACAAGGCGTCCCCCCATGCTGCCCCATTCGATCCACCTCTTAACTCCTCGCTCCCTCATCCCTCCGCTTTTCCTCCTCCATCCCTCCTCCCTCCTGCACCCCCTGAGGATGATGATGATGATGATGATGATGATGATGATGATGATGATGATGATGATGATGATGAGGAGGAGGAGGAGGAGGAGGAGGAGGAGGAGGAGGAGGAGGAGGAGAAGAGAGAGAGAGAGAGAGAAAACAAAAAAAACAAAGAACAGGAGAAAAGAGAGAGAGGAGAGAGAGAGAGAGAGAGAGAAGAGAGAGAGAGAGAGAGAGACAGAAGAGGGAGGGAGGGAGGAGGTCAGGAGGGAGGGAGGAGGAGGCAAGAGGGAAAGAGGAGGAGGAGGATGGAGGGAGGAGGGAGGGAGGGGGATGGAGGAAAGGGAGCTGGCGATCCCCAGACGTCCCTCCCAAACGATCCCCCTTATGACTGCACTGGTGATTGGAGGAGGAGGAGGAGGAGGAGGAGGAGGAGGAGGAGGGAGGATTGAGGCTCTGTCCGTGAGGGCTTGGCGACTTGTTTGTCCAATGGGCGGTGGGGGATCAGGCCAGATAGATCCAAGGTGCGGCTACGAAACGTCTACGACACGTATGGAAAAAGGGAGGTGGAGTAGACGAAGGAGAGAGAGAGAGAGAGAGAGAAACAAAAACAAAAAAAGCAGCAGCAGCAGCAGCAACAACAACAACAGAAAAGAACGAGAGAGGATAGAGAGAGAGCGAAGAGAGAGACAGAGGAGGAGGAGAGGAGGAGGAAGAGGAGGAGGAGGAGGAGGAAGAGAAGGAGGAGGAGGAGGAGGAGGAGGAGGAGGAGGAGGAGAAGCAGGAGCAGAGCAGGAAAGGAGGAGGAGGAGGAGAAGAAGAAGAAGAAGAAGAAGCGGTCCCTGAACGCCCCGTCGATGATTGAATGGGAGGTGGTAGATTCATTGCCCCATGCCAACCATTTCTTACATCTTACCTCCCATCTGCTCCTCCTCGTCCTGCCTCTCCCACCCCTCCCTCCCTCCTCCACACTCCATCCTTCCTCCTCCCGCATCGCTCCTCCCTCCTTCCTCCTACCCCATCCCGCCTCCGTCCTCCCTCCAACCCCCTCTTCGTGACACCCCCATGGAATCCACATCAGTAGATCCCTCGCGTTGAGCACGCTCCTACCAGCGACCAGGGTGCCTGACGGAGGGGGAGCGCGAGGCGCGCATGAGAGCTGAGCCAGTCCAAGGCAACATCAACGCCGACGGCCGAAGCAGCGTCGAACGGTGGGGAGTGGGAGGATGGAGAATCAGGGTGGATGAGAAAGGAAAGGAGGAAGGGAGGAAGGGACCAGGGAGGGAGGAGGGGAGGAGGGAGCGAGGAAAGACGCACGAACAAACGAACGGACGAGTTCTGAGCGCTGTAGGCCTAAACGACCGTGCGATAAGCCTGGGCTACTCCTGAAATGTCAGCCTCGGATTCAAGTCGTACCTGCACTCCTATCCTGGGCTGCCCGAATATCCGACTGGAGAGGCAGGTCGGAGGGAGGAAACGGGATGGGGGGCGAGGACAGGGAGATGAAGAGGAGGAAGAGAAGGAGGAGGAGGAGGAGGAGGAGGAGGAGGAGGAGGAGAAGGGGAAGGAGGAGGAGGAGGGGGAGGAGGAGGAGGAGGGAGGAGGAGAGGAGGAGGAGGAGAGGAGAGAGGAGGGGGAGAGGGAGGAGGAGGACAAGGAGGACCAGTACGCTGCGGCGCGCCGATTCGTCGACCACGACGGCTTGATACCTCGACGGCCGACCGCGGTCACAGAAACCGGCCTCCAGACATGGAGAGGGGACGAGCTGCGAAGGCAGCCGACCACCAAAGAAACATGAAACGGCCAGACGCTTGTGAAAGCCTGTGTCCTGCATGAGCGGCTGGCGAACTCGAGCGACAACAGTCGGCATCACGACACATGGCGTTAACCAAATGCTCCGGTTCACGTTGCCCTCAGCAATGAAACCGGCACGAACTCGTCGCGAACCCTCTCTTGCAAAAGACATGAGAGGAGGAGAGGAGAGGGAAAGGGGACGGAGGAGCGGGACAGGAGGCGTAAACACTGAGTGACCGGGCTTCGCGCTGACGGCTCACTCTTGGCACGCGAAGGCCGCAGCCTGAAGCGCACGAGCCGCGGCGGCGGCGGACGGGCGCTCTTCGCCCTCCTTGACCTTGTGATGACAGTGAAAGGCCAACACGACTCGCCGAATGGCGGAGCGACGAGCGAGCGGGCCAGACGGAGGGTAGAAGGTGCCGAGAACCATCCGTTGGATCGGGTCCGCAGGGCTTCGGGCCGAGGGAGGACAAAGGAGACCAGTGAGACAGGGGCACGTGAGGTACTGGCGGGAGTCGTCGACAGCGCGTGCGTCGGGGCACCCAAAGCGACAGGCCCGACCACTGAGGACGTGCATGCGTCGACGGGTCGCCCATCCGCCACACGCACTTTTGCGGAAAGCCCAACGCCAGGACGGCCGCACTCGAACCCATGCCCCCCGAAGCTCACCCCAAACCTCCCTCGTCTCGATCACCGTCCCGGGCGCCGCTCCGCCGTGCCAGGCGCGAGGGCGGCGGAGAAGGAGGCGGCAGCGGTCCAAGAGAAAGAGGCGGGCGGGAGGGCGCTAAGGGAGGGCACGCTGGACGTGGGGCTTCCGGGGTGCCGTCGCCGCCTGCTGACGCTCCTTCCGCGCAGCTTGCCGCGCGGCCGGCCCGAAGATCCTGCACGCGAAGTGGCGGCAGGTCCTCGCTCCCGTCTGCCGCCGCAGCCAGGTGTCGGGCCACGGCCGTCGGGTCTCCCCGAGAGCGCGGCGACCACTCGCCACTCCAGAGGTCCAACTGACAAGCACGATCTCCCGCCGCGCTCCGCAGGCATGCCAAAGCCAGCCCTCCAATCCGGGAGAGTATGCAGAGCCCTGCGCATGCGCACGCGCGTGCGCACGCCAAGAACGCCGAACGAGCTATCCGAGGCAAAGGCACGAAATGGGCGAAATATCTATAGCTATATATATATATACATATACATATACATATACATATACATATACATATACATATACATATACATATACATATACATATACATATATATGTATATATATGATACAGTCGGCACCGCGTGGGAGGCATACAAACGGACTGCGCTGTCGGGCAAAGCACTGGGCGTTGGAATATGACGGGCACGGCTCTACCACTTCTGCCGTGGGCCGTGCCACTGCCGAGCTCGATCGGCGCCTGGCCCCACGAACTGTCCTAGGTAGCGAGCGCACGAGGCAATCTCGCACCGCCCCCTCCCCTCCCCTAGCAGACGCAATTTCTCCGAGAGCCGATCCACGACTGGAGGTGTCAGGAGTGCATACAACGGTACGACTACACACGCGGCTACAGAATTCCCACCATGGACGCAGCCCTTTTTCGACTCGTGCACCTGCTCCTGCACCAGGCCGCGGAGCTTGAAGGCCATCGCGCTGGCGAGAGCCTTCATATCAGTGTTCTTGAGCATGGGATTGCGCAGGGCGTCGGGTGCGCGGTGCACTGCAGTGGCGTCTTCCACGAGGTCTCCGTTGGGGATGCAGGCCACGTCCGCACCATTGAGGTGAAAGGGAGCGTCGCCGCTCGAAACAGAGTGCGATCGCAGGTCCATCAAGACTCGAAGTGGCGCCAACTGCTGGAGCCACGCGTCCTGGGTGAATGGATAGGAAGGCCCTCAAATGGCATGCCCTCTGGAGCCCCAAGCCACCGGACCTCGACGAGGTCAACAGCATCTTAAGGCACATCAGGGACGCGGCCACTGTGGAGCAGCTGGAGCCCCTGAGTCCCGCGCGCGTTCGATGGGCTCGTCACTCGATGAAGCCCAAAGCAGGACGTGGGGTGGACGAAACGACCCCCCTCGACATGGAGCGTCTTCCCCTCCAAGGCATCCCGGAGCTCACCGGAGTTGTTTGGGACCTGTGGGGCCTGCCTGTCCTGGCCACGGCAGCTCCTGGTGGTCTGGGGCCGTCTTCTGGGGAAAAAAGATAAGGGAATAGAGTCCGTGGGCGTATGCCAATAGCTTCCAGGACGTGGCCACTTGCCCGTGAGGATGTCACCCGTTCGTGGTCCAAGGGCACCCAACACGACTGGGACGCGGCGGTGGCGGGGAACTCCGCCCTCCGCGAGGTCTTGTTGCCTGCGCTGCGAGATGAAGGATTATCTCGCCTGGACATTTCATATGGAGAAGGCCTGCTCGACATCAAAGGTTTCTACGATGCTATGCCGTGGGGGGGGGGCCTTGTCAGGTCAGCCCTCAAAATGGGCTTACCCCCCCGGTGCTCGCGCTCGAATTGCAGATGTGCCTCGCCCCTCGTGTGATGTCACAGATGGGTTCCTGCTCGATTGCGTTCCAGCCGAATCAGAAGATCATCCAGGGGCTCCGTAACGGCACTCGTGTTGGTCGGTGCCTCGTGTATTATATCATGGAGCGCCTTACCATTACACATCCGCACATGTCGTATCGCATATGGGTGGATGACCTCACGCAGCACGTCGCAGACACGCGCACCATTGACAGAGCCAGGTTGTTCAACTGCATTCTCCACACGTGCCAGAAGCTGGCGGGGCACGGTCTCCAGGTGGCCAGCAAGAGCGTGGTGTTGAGTTCGTCCGCTGCCGACGGCGAGTACGTGGTGCGTCGGCTGAAGGAGCGCGGCTTTGAGTTGCAAGCTGCCCTTCAGAGCTCCTGCTTGGGGTGGACCTGGGGGCAGGCAGACCCGCCAGGGCCACTCGGACCAAGTGGGTCGTCGAGGCCAAGCATGTGAGCAATCGCATCAGGAGGCTCTCCGCGGGCGTCCAGTCAGCATGTCAGTAGGGGGCTCGTCGAGAGGGCCGGGCCTCGAACTGCGGTGACGTACGGGCATCAAGTCACTGGGGCCTTCGGTGGCGTTCGTACTCAATGTCGGCGTCGTCTTGGGCACACGTTGTCTTCAGGCAGAAGGGGGAGGTTTTACCACGCTCTTGGATCTCAAGGCTGATGGGCACGATCCCGCATACAGTTTACCCCGCGAAGGGCTCCGCATGTGGCTGAGGACTTGGCTGGAGGAGCCCAGCATCTGTGCCCCTGTGCGTGCTGCGAGGCCTGCTCTTGTACAGCAGCTTCGTTCTCTTGCACCGCGGCAGGTGTCACAGCAAATCAGAGCTCCGATCTCCATGGTTATTGCGTATGTGCTTGAGTTTGGGTGGAACCCGATCTCTCCCACGGAGCGGGACATGCCAGCTGGCGGTGAAGAGCCTGGAGTAGGTTGGATGGTTCCTGACGACCTGGCTACTGCCCCCGAAGGTATCAGCGGGTTACTGTCCGAGTTCGAGGGTGCGATCAGGGCGAAACTCTCGACTTCGGCAGCTTCGCATTACTGCGGGGAAGGGTTCCAGCACGGGGCCGACAACGAGTCCCGCGGGGCCACTATCAAAGTACTGCAAGGGGTTCCCAACGGGCCCAGGCTTGCCGAGACCCTGCTTACTATTGCTGTTGGTGGCACTTGGCCACCGTCTAGAGATCGAGAGGAGGCGAGCTCCATCGAGGACGACACGTGTCCCAGGTGCGGCTTGGCTTCCGACACCCCCCTCCACCGTCGCTGGTGTTGTCCCAACAACGAAAGGCGCAAAATCTACGAGGAGTCCCAGTTCCTGCTTCCCAGGGCCCAGTGGGGCCAAGACTCCGAGCCCTGTTTCAAACTGCTTCTAGCTTCGAGGCCTCCTCCCGAAGTCATATGGACTCCACCGCCTGGGCCCACGTGCGAGGAGGCCTGGCAGGTCTTCTCCGTTTCCAGCGGCGCGGCCCACGAGCACGTGCTCGGCGCTCGGCCAGCGCGACGAACCAGTCTTCATATCTGGAGATGCCAGCGGGGGGAAACAAGCGTCTTCGGAGATGTAGGGGTGTCCGCGGTCTCCCTGGTCGCGCATGGCCCGCCTCGTGTTCGGGCTGCGGGCACTGGAGGTCTCCCCGGGCTCCCCGAGTCGGCTCCTCGTGGTGCAATTTGGGGCGTGCAACTCGGGATCGGGTACTCCAAGGAGCCCACCATTTACGTTGCCGACAACAGCGCTGTGGCCGACGGCTGGTATAAGGGTTACTACTCCAGGCCTCAAGGTATGTGTTGCCGTCTCAAGCTCGCGATACGTCGCAGACTGGTGCTTCCTCTCTTTTGTACCTCGCTGGCGATATCTCGCGCGTGTCTGGTTCGTGAACTGGGTGTGCCATGACACCGGTAAGCCCATAGCGACCCTGGGGGCCACAGTTCAGGCGGGCATCGCACATATACTACCCAGAAGAATTATCAAGCAGGTCACGGTGCAGCAACATTATGATAGGAGCGGAGAAAGCAACACAGATACACACGTGGAAAACAGCAGATTGTTGTACTGCAGGTTCCGTCAAACATCGAGGCCGAGGCTCTCCCCGCGCGTGGCTGCCCTCTGTTGCTTGTGATCGGCAATGAGACAGCCGACCAGTCTGCAGGAGCTGCAGCTCAGGGGATGAGGCTCGACCCTGGCACCAGGCATAGGGTGCAAAAGGCTGAGTTGGAAGCGTCGCTTGTCAGGAGAAGACTGCTCAGATCCACCCTCGAGGCGATTGCGGCTCGCCCCCCCCCCCACCTCCCCCCAAGAACTGCTACGACCAGGCCGCCTCCCCCTCCTGATCCCTCTTCTGTCGCTCTCTTTGGCTCGTCCCACGTGCTTGATCATAGCGGTAGGAGATGTTATAGGTGTCGCGGGTGCGCGTCCATCGACACGTGTACCGAATGGCTCAATTCGCAGTGTTTCGATTTGGAGGTTATCAATTCACATGTTTCCGACTGCCAAGGGGTTTAAGGTTCATTTTGGGGAGGCTGAATCCACCCCTCGCATTCGGCCATCTTCTCCTCCTCCTCCCAAATCGTGGAGTTGTTCTGCGTGTAGCTTCTACGGAGCCGGGCAGTTCAGGAAGAACCTTGCGTCAGAGTGCGCAGGGAATCAACACACTGTTAGGAGCAGGTGCCTCGACAACTTGATCGAAATGAAGACGCCGAAGGATCAGGCGGCCAATCGAGCCAAGCCTTCCACTTAGGCATTCGGGGATTTCGCATCGCGAATGGGTCCACTTCCATTTCCGTGCCCTCCTCCTCCTCCTCTTCCCAATCATCCTCCACATCCTCCTCCTCCCCCTCCCCCTCCTCTTCCTGCTCCTCCTCTTCCTGCTCCTCCTCCTCCTGCTCCTCCTCCTCCTCCTCCTCCTCCTCCTCCGCCTCCGCCTCCGCCTCCGCCTCCGCCTCCGCCTCCTCCTCCTCCTCCTTCTCCTCCTCCTCCTTCTCCTCCTCCTCCTCTTATTCCTACTCCTACTCCTCCTCCTGGGGAGAAAATTTGAGGCCACCCAAATGGGGTCGAAATGAGTGAGGTCGGAAGATCGCGTCCCATCGCTGATGCATTGGCGATGCATCGGCGACGTCGGGACGGAAAAGGTCGGGCTCCGAACCGAGCCCTACCGCACACATCTGCTTCGACCCCATGTGGGCGGCCTCGAAAGGAGGAGGAGGAGGACAAAGATGAGTATAAACCCAAGACGGGTCAAAGATGTTGCAAGTCACCCTCCCTCCAAATTCCCTCTTCGCAGGTCCCTAGAAGTTGTGCGAAAACATCAGTCCTGGGACTTCAGCGCCGCCGAATGAACGTGACTGTTGCGCCCTGGTAATCCTAAACCGCTGCAGAACACTGTTCCTGGGACTGCAACACATCGAATCAAAGCGACTGTCGCGCCCTGAGAATCGTAAGCCATACCAGAACACTACTCCTGGGACTCGCACCATGCGAATCCTTAGCACGGCTGCGAGCTGTTAAGGCGAATGCCTGCGGCGCTAAGGCGATTGCCACTTTTCGAAAACGGCCCGCCCTCCAACCTCGAAACTGCTGCAAATTTGGAAGATCAATGCGCGCGGCGCTAAGGCGATGACCACTTTTTGAAAACGACCCGCCCTCCATCGGCGAAGCCGTTGAAAATTCTAAGACGAATGTGTACGGCGCGGAGGCGGGAACCATTTTTTGAAAACGACCCGCCCTCCATCCGTGAAGCGGTTGCAAAACTTTTGCGACGATTGTGCGCCGCGGCGCTACAGCGAAAGCCACATTTTGAAAACGGCTCGCCCTCAATCCGTGAAACTGTTACACATATCAAGCAGCAGGATCATGAATGGTGCGGAACGCTCGGGCGGAACGCCGGGTCCGCACGACCGACACGTCCAGGAAGGCGACAGGGAGGAGTTCCTTATAAGCAACAAGGATGGAGGAGGCGGAGGAGGAGGAGGACGCCCGCGACCGGCCCCGACCTCCCCCTCCCCCTCCCCCGGGCCACGTCACGATTCGAGCCAGCGGCGTCTGGGAACTCCCGCACCGCGCCGAGCGCGAGTCGTGACGTGACCGGCCCCGCCCGTGCTCGCCGGGGAGAAAGAAACAAACAGAGAACGGCCTCGAGGAGCAGGAGGAGGAGGAGGAGGAGGAGGGGGAGGAGGAGGAGGAGGAGGAGGAGGAGGAGGAGGAGGAGGAGGAGGAGGAGGAGGAGGAGGAGGAGGAGGGGGAGGAGGAGGAGGAGAAGGAGGGGGAGGATCATCGAACGCTGCATGCCTGGCACGTGGAGCCCGCCCAGGTGCAAAGGGGGAGGATCTCGGCGTCCTTCTCCAGCACGAGGGCCCTCGCCTTCTCCGGCGCCACGATCTCGGCGCAGACGGCGGCCCAAGGCGCCGTCTGGGTCGACGAGGTCGCCGTGGGCACCGGCGGCGGCAGCTGGTGCTCCAGGGGGGGCAGCTCTCTCCGCGCCTCCGCCGCTGGGGGGGGGGGAAGAGGCCCAGAACTTCGACGCCCCCTGGGAAGCTGCGAGCGTTTTCTACAAATCTCTACAGCTCTCGAACGTTTTGAAGGCCCGGGCCCGTTTCCAGCAACTGCGTCTCGTCGACGGCGCTCCGGGGGTGCCAGAATCGCCCCGAACGGTCGCCGGGACGCCAAGATTCTGGCGCCGCAACTTTGTCACATCGGGCGGAGTGCGCCCTGTTTCGGGCCCCAATCGAGCCAGCTCGGAGAGTGCGACAGGAGGGTGGGATCCAGGGCTCGGGTCCGAGTTTTTTTGGCGATGTTGCAACTTGTTTGCGACGTCGAATCTCTGGGCGACGGAGGGGAAGAGAACGGCCTTCGCTCGCCAACGAACCGTCGAGGATGATCGAGGATCGAGGTCCGAGGACGAAGAGGAGGAGGCGGAGGAGGAGGATCGAGGATCAAAGCTCGCGGAGAGGCGGAGGGGGAGAGAAGCGGGGGAGGGGGAGGGGGCAAGCTAGGTGCGCTCGCGTCATATCTGACATCCTACCCCTCCCTCCCATCCCTTACCATGGCGCAGATCCCCTCTCTACTCGCACAGTCGGATGTCAAGCAGGGCGATGATCCCGAAAGGGTACGCGATGCATTGTAGAGCACGGCATGGCATGGCGTAGAAGAGCACCGCGAAAGCGTAGTATCAACCTAGCATTGCATTGCATGCCGTGGCATGGCGCGGGAAATGACGCCAGCGCTGCAGCGGGAGCACGAGTCGAAACGAGCGGAAGCGCGGAAATGAGGCCAGCGCTGCAGCGGGAGCACGATTCGGAACGAGCGGAAGCACGGAAATGAGGCCAGCGCTGCAGCGAGAGCACGATTCGGAACGAGCGGGGCCCGAAAATGAGGCCGGCGCCTCAGCGAGAGCAGCATTAATTTGGAAAACTGCCAGCGAAAACCTAACTCCGGGGAAGGCCTCCCGGGCGCCAGAAGCAGAAATTCAGCATTTTCAAAAAAAAATATTGGAATGGCCTTTTTTCGGCGCCGCCTCGGAACTCGATGTTCCGGCGCCGGCCGGAACCGGCTCCGGACTCGGCCCGGGCGCCGGCCCGGGCGCCGGCTCGGGCGTCCGGCCCATGAGGCGCCGGCTCGGGCGCCGGCCTGGGCGTCGGAATCGGTCCGGGAGGCCTCCTGGGCGCCGGAAGCAGAAATTCAGCATTTTCAAAAGATTATCCCGGCAAAGCAACCTAACAGCGATGTATAGAAGCATATCTGGAAGCATTCCCCTTAAGATTTGGGTGAGAATCCAGTTGTAGAATTCTGCTGTTCTCGCAGTCGCAGCCTCAGCCTGCCTCGGCTTGCTTCGGCCTCAGCCTCAGCCTGCCTCGGCCTCAGCCTCAGCCTCAGCCTGCCTCAGCCTCAGCCTCAGCCTCAGCCTGCCTCAGCCTCAGCCTGCATCAGCCTCAGCCTCAGCCTGCCTCAGCCGCAGCTTGCCTCAGCCTCAGCCACAGCATCAGCCTCAGCCTCAGCCTCAGCCTGCCTCAGCTTCAGCCTCAGCCTCAGCCTGCCTCGGCTTGCCTCGGCCTCAGCCTCAGCCTGCCTGGCCTCAGCCTCAGCCTCAGCCTCAGCCTCAGCCTCAGCCTGCCTCAGCCTCAGCCTGCATCAGCCTCAGCCTCAGCCTGCCTCAGCCGCAGCTTGCCTCAGCCTCAGCCTCAGCCTCAGCCTCAGCCTCAGCTTCAGCCTCAGCCTCAGCCTGCCTCGGCTTGCCTGCCTCAGCCTCAGCCTGCCTCGGCCCAGCCTCAGCCTAGCCTCAGCCTCAGCCTGCCTCAGCCTCAGCGTCAGCCTCTCAGACTCAGCCTGCATCAGCCTCAGCCTCAGCCTGCCTCGGCCTCAGCCTCAGCCTCAGCCGCAACTTGCCTGAGCCTCGGCAACAGCCTCAGCCTCAGCCTCAGCCTGCCTCAGCTTCAGCCTCAGCCTCAGCCTGCCTAGGCTTGCCTCGGCCTCAGCTCAGCCTGCAGCTCAGCCTCAGCCTGCCTCAGCCTCAGCCTCAGCCTGCCTCAGCCTCAGCCTGCATCAGCCTCAGCCTCAGCCTGCCTCAGCCGCAGCTTGCCTCAGCAGCAGCCTCAGCCACAGCCTCAGCCTCAGCCTCAGCCTGCCTCAGCTTCAGCCTCAGCCTCAGCCTGCCTCAGCTTGCCTCAGCTCAGCCTCAGCCTGCCTCGGCCTCAGCCTCAGCCTCAGCCTGCCTCAGCCTGCCTCAGCCTCAACGCCAGCCTCTCAGCCTCAGCCTGCATCAGCCTCAGCCTCAGCCTCAGCCTGCCTCAGACTCAGTCTCAGCCTGCCTCAACCTCAGCCTGCCTCAGCCTCAGCCTCACAGTTGGCTCCGGGCAATCAAAATGTAGCCTGGGAATGGTGTTCTGGGAACACGAAGAACACGAAGTGGCCTACAGTTGGCTCCGGGCATTCAAATGTGGCCCGGGAACAGTGTTCTGGGAACACGAAGAACACGAAGTGGTGGCTCCGGGCATTCAAAGTGTGGCCCGGGAATGGTGTTCTGGGAACACGAAGAACACGAAGTGGTTGGCTCCGGGCATTCAAAATGTGGCCCGGGAATGGTGTTCTGGGAACACGAAGAACACGAAGTGGCCTACAGTTGGCTCCGGGCTTTCAAAATCATGCCCAGGAATGGAGTTCTGGGAACTCGAAGACCACGAAGTGCGTTACTGTTTGCTTAAAACGAATTCCCCGGCATCCCCCTGGCATCCTCCCCCGGATCGCGCCCAGACCCCCCTGGGGCGTCATGATGCTCTTTTGATGACCCTACTAGAAACATTTCAGTCTTCGCTGTTAGGTAAAAAATGTGTATTAGAATGGCCTTTTTTCGGCGCCGCCTCGGAACTCAATTTTCCGGCGCCGGCCGGAACCGGCTCCGGACCTGGCCCGAGCGCCGGCCCGGGCGCCGGCTCGGGCGTGCAGCCCGGGCGCCGGCGGAAATGATGCCAGCGCTGCAGCGGGAGCACGATTCGGAACAAGCGGGGCTCGAAAATGATGCCGGCGCCTCAGCGAGAGCAGCATTTTGGAAAAAACGCAGGCGAAAAAACAACTCCGGGGAAACCTGTATGTAAAAAACACTACGCGGGGGGGGGGGGCGAAT